AAAGACTCGTTCACTAATTTCCGAAACTTCTGGACTGTCTTCACATCCGATGCAGCAAACTGATGTTCGGACAATTCAGGGTTTTCATTGTATGGAATCAGGTTCACGGACAAGCCGACCTCAGGATCTTCGTAGAAAGGTATCAGAAATTCTGCAAGCTCTCTTGCATTCTCTGGCTGGTCGTTGACACCAGCAATCATCACCACAGCAACCATGAAACGCCTGTCCGGATTCCCACTGCTGGATCTAAACACCGTCAAAAAAGCTTCTCTCAATTCCATGGTTGAGAAAAGCGATGTAGGCACAAGTTGGGCTCGCAGAGTGTCGCATGGTGAATGTAAAGACCACACAAGCTGACAGCGCATGCCCTTCAAAGCAAGAACTTGATGAGGTGATGGTGCCACTGTCGAGATCTGCAGGCGCTTTCTTGCAAAACCCATACGACGCATATCACTGAGGGCCTCCACAGCCTGCTTAACATTGCTGAGATTGGCCAAAGGTTCTCCCATTCCCATGAAAACCACCTTCAGAACCCTTGGCAGAGACAGCTCTTTTGCCAGACGCCGACCTTGAACAACTTGCGCGATAATTTCCTCAGTGCTGAGATTTCGCAAGAGCCCCATGGTCCCTGTGCGGCAAAAGCAGCATCCCTGAGCACAACCCACTTGTGAGCTGATGCAAATCGTTGTTGCCCGCCTTGTCAGCCTCCTGTCGTTTGGTATCAACACTGACTCAACTGAAAATCCATCATGAAGTCTCAAGAGAAACTTGTGTGTTGAAGCAACACCTTCGCCAGGCGCTTCTTCTATCATATGTTCAACGGCCTCAGGCTTCAGCGTCATCGCGAAGATGTCATCGACATCGAATGCCTTCAAGGCTGCTTGCTTGGAAGTGAGCTCTTGGCTATCCAACACAAAAGGTGAGGCGCCTGCTCGCAAAGCTGACCAAACTGCTTTCGAAGCACTTTGGCTTTTCAACAGTTCCGAGAGGTCGTGTCGAGTGAGTTGAGCAATTCCAAATCGCCGCACCCAGGGATGCGGTTTCCGCTTTTTTCGTAGGCTCGCACAAATACCAATGCCCGAAACAAAATCCAAACGTTGAAACCTCTCCCGAGTTCGTGGATGTGAGGATCTCAGAGCTCCGATCTTCAGGCCGTATGAATCCTGAAATCTCCCAGTCCCTGAATCTATAAATCTAAGAGAAGCAGAGATTTCCATAAAAAGACCCACAATCAGCGGATCGTATGACTACAGTACATTCTTGAACCTCTTGCTTTCAATCAGGAATCAAACTTCAAAGCCTTGCACGTCCCAAGGACAACCACATATCAGAAGGATCCGCAACAAATCAAGTTCGAACAAAAACGCTACGACCCAAAAGTTCTACTGAGCAAAGCTCGGAGCAACTTAGGTAAAGGCAATTCTGCCGCTTAGAATCTTCCCGACAATTGATTTCTCAATTATCATCTTTCAAACCCCTTTGAGCCACCCACTTTATGTTTAAAAATAAAAAACACAACATGATTGCACAGCTCTCAGAACCTCTATCTCCAGGCGATGGTCGCTCTTCATCTGCAATGCAGTGCTGGAGTGGCGCTCTTTTTAAAGGAGAGAAAAGGAGCTGAGCCCTAGAAACTTGCGTTGAAGCTAGAAACGACCAGCTGTTCTTATACGTAACCTCTAACAACGTGGCCACAGGCAACCATTGACCCACAATCTGGAACCTGGAAGAACAGGAGATCAGCATGCGGCTGCGCAATCGAGCTCCAGCCTTGTCCAGCTCTGTCTGAACCTGATACAGTGTGCTTCAAGCAGAAGAAGCAAAGCGAAGCTAGGATATGCATGTTGGTGCGCTTAAGAGCAGTCGGCAGTGCCACCACCAGTGCTTCTCACCCCTTGTTTGCTCTACAGTTTGGACCGGTTTGCGTTTCAAGTCATGCCTTGCGACGTTCTTCTCGGATCGCATCCTCCTTCTCGGTCTGGTGGCCTCGTCGAATCTCATCCTATCTCAGTGTTCAAGGTTGGTGTCCTCTAAATTGTCCAGGTCAAACCTCGCCTTGTGCCAGCTGTCGCTTTTGCTCAATGAAGCGGCGCTCATCACTGGCTTGAATCTCCTGTCCAACAGAAACCTGCCTCTCGAGCCTCCATGACTCCTCATCCCTGCCTGCACCTAATTACTGAACAAACCACGGAACTTCAAAGTCACACTACACAACGCACATCCTGGATTGGCGCCCAAATTCATGGGGATATCTGTCCAAAGGCGTAGGCTGTCACGCAGAGTCACCGCTACAGCACATTGTTCCGGAACAATTCCGTGACCAGTGAGAAACCCTCAAAGATTCCTTAACTTGGAAGGGATGGAGACCAAGGTGAGGCTCAAGAGTAAATGGTCAATAAAATGTCGGAGACAAATATATAGATTTTGGAGCTCTTCAAGATCTATTCAAGACTGGGCCAGGGTCTTGAACCAATACTGCAGTTGACCAACTAAACATGATCAGGCCTTACACCGATCCAGCTCTGATTGCAGATATCGGCATTGGAGCTCCATTCCTTATGAGAAAAAGGTTCACAAGTGCGGCTCAGGTAAGGGACTGCAATAGGGGCAGCAATGGGGACTCTCCAATGGGATATTCCGAATTCCTGTCTAAAGCGTTTAATTCAGGAAAGAAGCTTCAGAGTGTTTGACGAGCTGTTTGTAGTCCTTACCTGGGGCCCGAACTTGCAAGACTCTCATTCTCCTGACGCTTCGCATCCTCCATTCGGCGCTTCCAACGCTCCTCACAGTCCTGAAACAGCAAAGGGTCCAAGAAAAGCAAGAAGAGCCCTGTCCACTCTCATGGGTCCCGGAGGTCCCCTTGTTACTAGTAGCGATGCACTTGTTATGTACTACTAGCGATGCGCTTGTTTCTACTAGCGATGCCCTTGTTACTAGTAGCGAAGTGGTCTGATGGAAAACAATAGCCTGCAACCAGAAGTTTTAAGGAATTCGGGAAACCATAAATTTATCAATTGTCGCTCTGAACCTCCTTCCGAGCAAGTGCGCGCCTCCAGTTGCAGCTCCAAATGTCTTACCTAGAGCATACACAAACCACCCAGTCTGTGTCTAGTTGAGTCTAGTTATGCAACACTCCAGACAAAAGCTTCACTCCCCACATCAAATGGAAACCTGTGCATGCACGAATGTGTGCAGCATTCCACTAACACTTCCTGCCCACCTTAGCATCTTTTTGGGCCACCTGCAAATACCTGACATTCAAATCTGCAAAACATAGCAAAAAAGGCAAAGGACAAGAGAACGGCTGGCCACCGGGAATTTCATGAAATTGTAAATTCCGCAGCTGAACTCAGACCACACCAAGTGACAAATCCGGTGCACTGGTGGCAGGTGGCTTATCAGAAAAGCCACGGTTTCCGACCTCCGGTTCAAAACGGAAGAAGATAGGCAGGTGGCAGGTGAGGCTGCACCGGGCAGATGCGCTGATGCGCCAATACTGAGCTCCTAGCATCAAAAAAGCTCACATCTCTCTGTGAGGGGGGCGTATCATCAGCATCCCCAGGGGTCGGGAGCCTGGCGCGCGGCTGGTTCGCTCAAGAGCCCAGAACTCTCATGCGTGAACATGAAACATAACAACCCATCGACTTCCACACATGGGCATTAAACACGAGAACCCAAGCGTTTCCGAAATCAACTGGTCTCCACAAATAAAACATGGCGGATCCTAGAAGGGCTACAGTGAGCATGTAGTGTGACGCAAACAAAGAACTGCAAGAGTTGGGTGAAACAGGGAATGGCTTGAAAGTGTGGCCCAGAAGTGTCAGGACGTGCAGAGATCTTCAATGCAGCTAATGATAGTGCATTCGACCTCATGTCAACCATGATCCCAGCCATCCTTGACATGGCTGATAACATGCGTTATCCCAAGGCAAGTCAAGCCTCCGTGCAGCCTCTTGCTCAGCTAGGAGTTTGGCAATGGGCACGGTGGATTCCTGGCGTACCTAGCGGTGTGAGTTGCAGACAGCAAGAGTTGGGCACAGTTGATCGTTTAGGCACTACTAATCTGAAAGTCTATGGGCCTGGGGGCCGCTCTAGACCCAAGAGCGTCCTTGCTCCTAGTAGTACGGCCAGGAGCCCCTAGTAGCGTCCTTGTTCCTAGTAGCGATGCCAGGAGCCCCTAGTAGCGAACATTGTTCCTAGTAGATTGCTTCGTACTTCTCCGATAAAACACAATGAAACGAACGAGCAGAAACAAGCTTGACGTATCCTATGACGATCAACCAGTCGCGGCACCTGGGAGATGGCTGCTGCACGGGTCCCCTCTGTTGCAGGCCTCAAAGTGAAGTTTGAGCCTTCAGATGCGCCCTTGAGATAGAAGTCAGTTCTCATTAGACAAAGCATCCGCGACTAGTGACTATAGTTGCAATCTGCTTTAGAAGCATTTACCGCGCTCCAACCAGGTTCTCAAATGCAGTGTTGAAATATCGTGTGCAAATGATACAATAGGCCTGTACTCTTGTGTTCTTTCCTCCAGTCGCATCAAAATGCGAGCATTATGACAACCTGTCTGAGGTAAAGACATCCCAGAAGTATCACCTTGTCTGGCCTGCTATGCGTCAGTGAGTCTAGGTCCGGTACCGGACTAGCATGGACATAACATTCACTTCTTGCGAGCAACCATCAGAACCCCAAATGCAACAAAGTTAAACCTTATTGGCCAACAGCTGTATGTCTGAAAAACGTTGCGTCGTTGCGTGGCCTGACGGGAGCTATCAGATGCATGTGCCTTGCGCGCTTCCATGTCACCAAAGGCCGGTTTAACGATTTGGCACTGTGAAGCAGTCTGCGACAACAAGAATCCCTCTTAGTACACATATGTACATATGTAGATATACTTCTACGCATGTGTATAGATATTATGTACATATTTACAAACACAATTGTGCTTCAATCATCCAGGAGCAAGCACGGTGCGCGGAATGGAGTCGCAAAGGTTTGGCTCCACATGCTGAATATGTTGCAAAGGAATCCACAGGCTGGGATCTTCATAGGTACTTTCTAACTCACTCAAAAGCCGCCGTACCAAATGCCATTTTTTGGCCATCTGGCAACTTTCGACAACTGCGCAAATGGTGATGGCATCTGCTCGCACGGCGAATGAATCCATGTCGTCCAGCAAGAGTAACGCTAGCATCCATTGCACTGCCTATCAGCCAAGAAAAAAAGCACATGATTCTTGATTTCTTTGGTGTCCCCAGGTCCCCTTCAAGAAAATAGAGCTAAAGAACTCTCTTGTGCCAACTACAGAGGTCCCAACACAGTGTCCGCTGCCACCAGTGACGGTGAAGTCCAGGCAGTCTATCCTTATATATATATATATGTCTTACAAACATGTACATATGTATCCAGTACTTATGTATAGTTATATATATATACATACACTAGTAGCTGTATCATTCTCGGACACCACAAGTGTGCAAAACACTCCACGCCAACTTCAACCCTGAAAAGGCCTTCTGCAAAGCAGACACGGTTGCACTGTGTGAAACCACGTCAGGAAGCAGTTGCTTCAAGGAAAGCTCTTGTAAAAGGGCTAGGGCCACTTGCCAGTGGCAGGCCTTTTCACAAGTGCTTATGGTAGTGTTGTAAAGGACTGTCCATGGCTGAAGGAGTTGCAACGCTTCCGGCCACTTGGCCGCCTTCTCACAAGCATTGATGGCCGAAGTGTATCCTACCAAACCTAACTGGATCTTGAAAAGCTGAGCTTCAGTAAGAAGTTGGAAAACACATTGCCACTTGCCAGCTCTATCACAGGCTCCAATGGAGGCACTGTAGGTGATCACATCTGCCTGCAAATAAATAGAGTGAAGCAGCCTCAACAATGCCAAGGCCATCCCATGCTGACCAGATTTTTCACATGCACTGATCGCTGCATTAAAAGTGATCACATTAGCCATTGGACGTTTGGAAACTGCCTCAGCCAAAAACATCAACCCAGCCTGCCATTCTGACACATTTGCGCAAGAGCTGATCACTGCGCTGTAAGTGACAGCAGTAGGCACCAGACATTTTGTCAAGTCCTCGAAGAGCCATATAGCTTGCTGATATTCAGAGGCCTTCTCACAGGCACTGATTGCGGAATTGTATGTGATCACATCAGCCAGACGCCCTTCTGTAAGACCTTTTAACATGTCCAAGGCGAGACTCCACTGTTTTGCCTTCTCGAACGTGCTCATCGCAGCATTTAGTGTGATCAAGGTCGCTTCAAGTGCTCGACTTGCCAAATCATCCAACAACAACAACATCAACTGCCAATTAGTGCATGCGTCAACAGCTGCGCCAAAAGATACATCGTCCAACGCCAGCCGGCTTTCTTCGATCAAATTGAGATGGAGTATGGCCCTCTGCCACTGCTTTGCTCTTCCACAGGCGCTGATAACCTTGATAATTGATATCTATAAAAAGCAAGCTTGGTACATGGCCCATGGCTGCAAAACAGCGCATCTCCAAAAAATGAAACATACAGTATCAGACTGTTTGAATCAAGCGCATCATAGGTTTGGCCCCTGTGTGACTTACATAGATAAGAGAAGCGTGTACTTTGCTTGATGGTTGTCTGGGTCGTATTGAATAGAGAGGAAGGACAGGGTAAAGCAATGTTCTGTTCCGGCGCTAGTTTGGGGCAAGATCGGCTCCGGCTCCGTTGCGATCCCACGTTGCGCTCTTGCTTGCCCCCAAGAAGCCGAGTTATGCAGGACAATGTCGGCCTCCAATTGAAGGGTTGCCAGTCCTTCCAAGATCTGAAACGCTTGCTGCCACTGTGAGGCTTTTTCACACGCACTGCAGCTTGCACTACAGATGATCAAGTCTGGCTGAAAATAGCATCCTGCAACAAGGCTCTTCTACAGCTTATCTCCAATGATGCAAGCATGATGTCATGATTCTATTCCATGAATCATGATTTGGGCTTTGGTCACCCTGTATCCTTCGAGCTCCTGCAAGAGTGCCATGGCATGCTGCCACTGTGCACCAGGCGCAGCAGCACAGATTGCAGTACTGAAGGTTAACAAATCGACCAAGCCAGCAGTGCCGGCAGCACGGAACAAAATCCAGGCTTGTTGCCACTGCCTTGCTTTCCTGCCTTAGAACCCAAAGTATAACTAAAAGAAATCTCACTAAAGGCAAGAAGAACAGTGTCACTTCACGAAAACTTAGCGATAAGAAACCCGTATAATGCTAACTTTGTGTACATGCACGACTCCAATGAACAGGCTGTACAAGAAAGACGCATGAGAAACTACTCCGAAATGACCTTAAACGGGTCCAAGTGCAAGGGTGCGGCATTTATCGATGGTAGAGTTGTACATCATCGTCATCGTGTTCTGTACATCTCTCTTTAAGCGCACCATTTGAGCATGGTTCAAGAACAGCAAGGCGTGTTGCCAATGTTCAACTGGATTGCCCAACACTCTGAGGCGGGATTCCATGACAAGCGGCTGAGAATCAAATCGAAATGGGCTGAGAAGCTCTAGCGTGCCAGCAAATTCTGAGAGCTTGAGCCGCACAACTATATATATGACCAGCAACCGCGCCAGGTTGAAACCTTGAAGGGGGTGCTTTGCTTGATTTCCACGAAGTTCAAAAGCCGTCCGGCGCATAAGCTGATGTCAAACACTGTGATTTCACGAATGGAGCACTGCTGTTTGAACAGTGAAGAGCTCGTGCCTTAGTAGCCACCGCCTGGCAAGTCCGTACTCCTATAGCTTTGCAATATCAGTGTTGAGTCTTACACATTGTGAAGTGAATGATTGGCCTGAGGCCTTTGGGGCCAAGCTGTTGAGGTTTCATATATGAACAAGCCTTATTGCGTGCAGAGACCACTTCTTTCAGAAACAAACATATAATTCCTCTGAACTCCATGCCTGGTGCAGTGGCAGAGTTGGCGGAACCTCACCAAGGCTCGAAAGGGCCTATGAGTCGAGAGTATGATGAGCACACTGGGGTTCTCAGCAATTGGAGACATGGCTGCTAGATGAATCTTGTGTGGCTCTACCGGGCTGTGTGCACTCCCATGAGTTCATTGCTGAAGGAACGAAAGCCAAGTCTTTTACAAGACTAGCATCCAATAGTGACAAGTTAGCTGTCCTCCTCCACTTCATGGCAGGAAATCTCTATCCCTTCCTGATGCTAGTGATGCCGCTAGCAAGTTCTGCGCCAACTCAGCAAAAAGGCTCTCGGATAAAACTGGAAACATTACTAAGTGTCCAACGAGTCTAGTTTTTCCACCTAGAAAATTGACTTTTTGCCGAGGCTTGAAGGTCTTGAACGAGAGGAAGCGAGGAAGGGCGTAAAGGTCTTGGCTTCCATACACGAAGGGAACCACGTCCACTTGTTGAATGCCTCAGGGTTCGTCAAAATCGACCAAAGAGCGTGTCAGGGCCCTTGAAGTGCAAATGAACATGAGGTAGGTTCTGGTAGCACTCGTCTCGTGCGCGCATAGCACAGCATGTGTCGTTGATCGTCTTGGTTGCCCAGCTCCGAGGCTCGACTTGGCTGTGGCTGAGCTAACCTCAAAGCTTTGCTTCAAAACTCACATAGCTTGGCTTCCAAAAATGACTCACAAGGAAATTCAGTCCTGAAATGACAGGGTTTGATGTCCTTCCTGTTCAAAATGGACGGTCTGCGCCCCCCACTCCGATGGCGCTCCTGGAAGGAAAGGAAGGGAACCTTTGAAGCTTCATAGGTTTGGTAAGTTGGTTGGTCTACGTTTTTGGATGAGCAAGTGCAGCAATTGCTACAAATGCAAGCAAATGGATGGAGGATCTAGTATGCCGTTGGCCCTGGGCCTGGTAAAACGCTCATCAAACCACACAGCAGTCCGGAACCGCCTTCAATCTAGTGTTGGAACTTGATGGGTCTGCATGTTTGTGGAACCATGAGTAAAGCCCTGAAAGGAACCGAGCTGAGCGCTTTCCTTCAGATCCTCTTGACCGCGGAGGTGATGAGGCTGGTTCCTGTGTGCCAGAAGCATTGGACAAAATAGCTGAATCATGCTGAATCTCTTTGTTTGAGTGTACCGACTACTGTGTGGGGAAACACGTCTGGGCCTGGGCAAACAAGTTCATCCTACAAGAGACAAGCAACTCAGCAAAATGGGTCAACTTGCTCATCACAATGGCCAGGATCTGGATATGCTGCAATACTACATGGTGGACCTTTAGGGAATGTCAAATGCGTCCAACATCCAAACCTTGCTTCATTGAAATCCGAGTGGCTCGAGGTGGCCGCTGCGGTGTGGAAGCTGCAGGAGGGTTCTCAGGCTCAGGGCCTGGGGTATTCACCTGAGGGGGAAAGGCCCTTGGATGACATGTTGTATACAGCAGTTTCTAAAGCAATTCTTCCGTTTCTTCATCTTTGGACCTTTCTTTCTCTTTTCTTCTTTTCTTCTGATTCTAATTATTCTTTTGATCACTGTAAACCTGTGACGATCCCAGATCGCTTGAGAGCTGAGCCCGCGAGGATGACGGTGAAGGCTGCCACAAAAAGAAGTCTGAACAATTGTATTCTGCTACAACCAATTCTGCGGTTCCTCCCCAATTCTCAGCTACAAAAATGGCAAGTCACCGAACATCACCAAACTGGGTGAGGAGTCAACCTGGCTCTCAACTGTTATGTAAACGTATGCAAATCCCCCCCATAAAGCCCCGTTCTGCAGCCCGCTTCAGCCCCTGCTGAAGCCTCTTCCATGTAGCTTCATCAACTTATGGGCGACTACCCATGGGCCACAATCTCTTGACCTTTACATTGGACTCAAGTGCCCCGAACAATTAGGAATTTGGGCAATGGTTCATCACAGGTATCATTTTGCATGCTCATCTCCACTTCAAGGCCCACTTCAAGGCTGCGCACCTTGGCTTTGGGAAGGCTCCGCTTTGTCCTGGGATTAAGCCTCAGGGACACTGCGAAGTAGCCAACTCAGTTTGAAATGGCCAAGGAAAACCCTCCAAACTAAGAAACCGATTCGTTTCAGTCCTAAAGATTACAATCCGCAAATGTCATTAGCCCCGAGGGACGGACTCCACTTCAAATCGACCACCCTGCCAGCTTCTATGTGGCACACTTCAAGGGATTGCGGTTACGTCCAATCTTGAAGCAAATTCTGGCAGGTTAGAAAGCTAAAGCTGTGTTTGCACATCGTCAGCCTGGAGAATCTCAATCAACCCTTGCCTCTAGCGGCCCTGACGGTCGTCCCTCTGACCTGGGAGTCGGAGACTTCTAGAAGAACCCTCAAATGGCAAACGAAGTTGCAAAGAACAAACAAAATGTGTACCCTCTTGGTCTGGACTGGCCCACAGAGTAGGGCACACAAAGTTCTCAAAAAGAAAAAGAACTTGGGCTGCACACTCATCAAATCGGCCTTCTGAGAAAGCAGCATCACTACCTCGCGCAAGATTGAGAGATACAGCAACCGGCTGCCACTTCCATATGTTCCAAATGTTTTCGATTCCATCTACTATGCAGCTCTACATAAAACAGAATGATACATCTTCCACCTTGCTGTCAATCAATATGTCTCGGCTTTGTGTAACTCACCAACACAACACCAAAATGCTTCCAAACCGGCTCCAGTGCATCTTCAGAGTGTTGCTGAACTGAAACACGATCTGCCCCCACCTCCACTCTGACTCGGGTCAGGCCTGGTTCCAAGAAGTCTCAGCGTCATATAACTAAACAAAAAAGGGAGATCCCAAAACCGGAAGAACTGAAACTCTTAACCACTGGAAGTCCCCCTCCGCAACACAACCTGCATGGAGAAACTGTAGTGATGCTGTCAAGCTGCGGCCACGAGCAACAGCCCCGTGGTATGACACAATGAGTGTTGAATAGTAGGAATATGTCTGAATCCTTACTTGTTCAACCAAGGTGAGAAACATTCTATCAGAATTGAGCAGGGGTAACCTTCTTTAGAGCAAAATATGTGCAATATGAGCAAACCAACAGCTGAGATCCGAGCATTCCAAAACGGCTACGGTTCAAGCCACGCCTCAGGCGGATACATTTTTAGGCCGAACCCTCTGCCTTGGCCCTTGGCGCTGTCTGATCGGCAGCTTGAGAAATGTTGATGCAAAGTGCTGAAGCTCGTTGAGAGCCTAATTAGTGGACTCGATCTGGAGACCGCAGGCTGGCGGGAATCTTGAGCAAGGAATTCTTCTTGCTCAGATGTGCACTGCATGGACGAACTGCTCAAGACCTGCGCGGCGCCCTGTCCCTTGGAGTCCCTGCCGGAAATCTCGAGACGCCTCGGGCTCCTGTGCACGTCATCATGGTTTGAGCCAAAGCATCTTCGAGCAACCTTGGACTGAGGGGCACACCTATGTAACCCTGCGCGCCTCTCTTCTTCTGCTCGTGTCAGCTTCTTCCTGGACACTTTGGAAGTTTGAAGCAAGCTTGTCCAAGAATATGAACTTGGATTCTAGAAGGCAAATCGGGCAAACCTCCCGCGAATTTTAGAGATGCCAAAAAACGGATTCGATACAAAGGAATAGCAGCAAAAATGGCTCGATCTTCAAAAGTTCCCTCAACTCCGACTCAACTCCCATGACTCTCCCATTGCCCAACACCAAACCCCTCACCTTCACCAAGGGTTCGGTAGACGACCTCCGAAGACTCGGCCGAGATCGTTCGCCTGAGCTCACAGATTCAATTCGACATGCCTTCCTGTGGCTTCCGGCCAACCTTTCGTTGGATTTACTTCATTGGAGTCCTGGAGTAAAGTACATTCAAAGGTCCAAAAGGGTTAGTTTGGAACAAGTCCGAATCGAGCAAGCTTTCAACGTGCTCTCACATACACAGGCAGCCCGCCATCACTTGCGGAAGAGGTTTGCAATGTATGTGTGTGCACTCCATATCCACCCTTTAGGTCGCTGAGAAAAGTTTGATGCTACAATTTTGGTGGTTGTGGATCCCTTGGAACCACACTCACTGGCACACTGCGAGGCTCTTCACCCAAGATGTCACTGACCAAGTCCTCAGCACAGGTTCAAATCAAACAGGAGGTCTGGCCCGGCCGCGATGAAGAAGATTTGCATGGACTTCGATCTTCATGGCGATAAAACAGCTTTGCGCAAATGGTCAATGGTCCATGGTCGTCAACAAAATATATAACCGAACACAGTGAACAGCGCTCTAGCCATTCCAAGACTTTCCTCTACCATGCACCCGAGCATCAAAGTCAGGCTTCTGACCAACACTGGGCTCCGGTCGGTCTGACTCCTAGCGGCCCAAACCGCAGGACATGCATGCGCCGGACATACACGCTTCATGTCAGCTTTGCCTTGAAAGCCTTCTCGAAAGCATAGAAACTATGCCACTATTATAGCCACTATCCGCCGACCCCGGCTGAAGAAAGGGGGAGCTCGCCAGGGATTACAGGTGTGGGAGTGCTCACCATGGATGCCGGTGCCTGTGAATTTCTTGTGGCAAGGTCTGTGCTTGGGCCCAGGTTCGCAGGGTACGGATGGGCCAGAACGTGGGTGATGGGCGAGAACATGGGCGCACACTAGTCTTTTTCTAGGGATCCAGACGCGACGTTTGGCCCCGAATGTGCGATCA